CCTTTTTTGAAGATGGGCACTACATTTGCCTTTTTCCAGTCATCCGGGATTTCTCCCGATCTCCACGACTTTTCAAAGATAATAGCCAAAGGCTCCGCAATGACATTTGCCAAATCCCTCAGTACCCTCGGATGCATTAAATCTGGGCCCATGGATTTGTGTACGTTTAGCTTTTCTAAATAGTTCCTAACTTGTTCTTTACCCAAGAAATACAGAAATAACACCCCTCCCCGACCGCACACCCCTAGTTGTCACCTCCCAACACAGAGAACCCATACAGGGTATCACCAAACAATGACAATCCACGCTCCAGAGGGGCTGTGCCCTGAAATAAATCTTTCCTGAACCCCCTGCTTCTGGCCTTCAAACAACCCCCCTCCCCATCTCTCCAAGTGCATCATCAGAAGCAAGCTACCCATAGCCCAGAACACACCAACTCAAAGTGGCACTAGACCCTGCCAGAACAACAGGTGCAAAACACTGCAGACACAGCTCCACTGCGACAGTGATCAACACCCCCCACCACACACCTCCCAAGCTCCAGGGGCCCTACACATGCCTCTCACAACAGGGGGTGCACCTCCTCCAGAGCACTAACCCACCCAGTAACAATTCTGGGGCTGAAAGCAGACAGCCACTGCACTCTCGAATGAACTCACTCAGGAAAATGATCAAAGGAAAACCCCACCCGATCACCTGTGGGTGAACACTTTTCACAAAGTGAGGACTCTGCCTGACCTCTCTCAGTCCTCATCCTCAAAGGAAATCAGTATATCGCCTTCAAAAGACAAGCCTATGAGCTTAAACGCCATAAAAATCATGGACTGAATAGAAACACTGGATTTATGGCGGATTATAACAATTTATACTCCACTAACAATCTCCTCTGCCTTTCCCTCTCCCCTTTCCGTTTCCCTCTAAGAATGGGGGGTTGTTAAAGGGCCAGTCCACCACGAATGGGCCCTTGAAATATGTGTTGTTGACTTATACTAAACAATCTGATCCACCCTGCATTTAGCTGACACTCTGAGGCCAGGTCTACAGTGGTGGAGAAAATTGATGCAAGATATGCAACTCCAGCTATGTGAACTGCATGGCTGGAGTTGACATAACCTGCATCCCTTTTCTGGGGTGGTCCCACAGTGGGAGGTTGACAGGAGAAACTCTCCCATCGACTTCCCTTACTCCTCCCCAGTATCAAACCCGAAACTCCTCACCCTCAGAGTTTGATTTAGCGGGTCCTTACCAGACCCACTCAATCGAATGCCAGAAGATTGATCTCTGCAGTATTGATCTTCCCAGAAGTGTAGATGTGCCGTCAGTAAGTTTCCCAGACCTGAAACAGAACTTGCTGTAAGCTCAAAAGTTTGTCTCTCTCACCCACAGAAGTAGGTCCAACAAATTATATGACCCCACCCACCTTGTCTCTCTGTGTAAATGCCTCAGGCTCAATAGGAGAATTTGCTTGAGAAAAGACTGAATAAAATAATTGGCATAAGAACAAAATCGACGTTAGCAGCAGCTTCCAAATTGTGAAAATTGAACGTAGCCATGTGACCTTTCACCAAAGACCAACTCCAGTGCCTACAGAAGTCAATGAGTGCTTTATTATAGCTTTCTTTGGACACTGGCTCTCAAATGGGCAAGATTCTCTTTCCAATTTTGCACAACGGGTCCTGCACTGCAGCCTATCTCAATCATAAAATTGGTTAGCTTTCTATTGAAAAATGGGTTCCTTGACCAATGACCAATGATCATGCCAGCTGGTCACCAGCGGCCCCCTTTTGAAAAACCAAATTCTCTTGGGATGTGAAAAGTTTACATTGTTTGTTTAAAACACTGCAGACTTTTCGCATCCCAAGAGAATTTGGTTTTTCAAAAGGGGGTCCTCTGGTGACCAGCTGGCATGATCATTGGTCATGTGGATTTCTTATGGGAAAGGCAATTTCTTTCCCTTCCATGCCTCATCTGAGCACGCATTTCCTAGAAAAGCAATAGATGGCAGTGGGCGGTGTTTTGGATGTGGAATTTTCTGTTGCGTCATTCCTCACTGATCTCCTTTGGCTGGAAATTGAACAAAATTGATTTTCTTGCAACTGCTACTGTTGTAGCTAAGAATAAATCCTTCTCTGTGAGTGAAACTTATGCATAAAGAAAGGGCCAGCACAACGTCCGGGCACTCCCTAGATCCACTTAATCCTGCAAAAGAGGGCAAAAGCAGTGCACAGATCCTCTCCGTGGTGGGGAATTTCAGTTTCCTGGCTTTGAGGAAGTGGAAGGGCACAACAACAAAGACATCCTAACACACTCTAACGTCCTGGGCATGAAACGGAGACATCTGACTTAGCATGCAAAATAGCCACAACTTGCCTATGGTTTTTTGATTCAGCCTGTCATATGACAGATCCTCAGCTAGTTCTGTGTAACAGACAAGTGCGTTAGCGTATTTCACACAATGGGCAGATTCACTGGGCTGGCTCGTCCATTAGGCAATACTGACTAGTCACAGTTTATCCAATTAGGGGTAACACGTGTATGTTGTTATATCTCATGGGACAGAGAGGAAAGCCAGTGAAGAGGGAGGTGCTCGGGAGGGAAAATGAGTTCAGATTGTGTGGTGATTTTTAAAGATGCCCCTTAATATCGCAGGTACACACCCACACTTGAATTAGCGTGGACTTTCACTCCCCCCCCAATCTCTCTGGAAATTACACTCTGGATTTGCCTTGGAAATGCTGCTTGCTTAGCCTTTCCCTAGCAGCCTGGTATGAATTTGTAAGGCATGCTCCCTGAACTCTGAATAAATCGATGATCCTCCACACAAAGGCACGTCCCACTTTTTTCTCACCTTTCCCCTTTTTTTATTGGGCAGCATGGGTGGTGGGCGAAGGTGGGACTGGGGGGGTGTCAAGCCCCCAGCCTTACCCCTTCTACTGAGGCCCCACTCCCTATGGGGTCCAAGAAGACCTCCCCACCGTCCACTCACCTGTCACACCCACCCCAGGTTGGGGAGGGCAGGCAGTATGGGTCCTCAGCCCACAGAGAGGGCGGACAGTCAGGGGCCAGCAACACTCACACCCAGTATGCCTAGAGTAGGTGTTCTGGGGCGGAGTGTGGGCAGGTCAGGCTGGCAATTTGGGAAGGCAGAGCCTTTCCCCGGCCTGGCACACCGGTCGCCTGCGTTGGTCAGGCATGATACACCAGCTAGGGTATATAGTATCCACCTACATATGAGTACTGCCTAACAGACCAGTTCCCAGAATTCCTTTGGCTTCCCCCTTCATTGATTGATTCAGAATCTGGGCAGACAGGGCAGGGTCATGGGGTATAAAAGACACTGGGACACGAAACCCAGTAGCCCTGCTGTTGGCTATTCATAAGCCCCCCAGTGGTGGTTTCTCCTGGAAATGAATGATTGCAAGGGGGAGGGGAATACAAAGCAGAGCCCAACCAATCCTACAAGAAGAGAATACTGGTGTCGGCTTGGGTGAGCTGAAAATGTGTCCGATCTTAAACCGTTACATTCTCACAAGGTACGTCTAGTGGATTCTCTGCATCTTACATAGAATGTGCTTTAAGACAGCTGCCACTTTGTTGTTGAGAAATTAAACCCCATCAGCTCCTCTCCCGCTGAATCCAACAGCCGCCATTTCTGTGAGTCACCAACCAAAACACACGTTTGGGTGCTCCCCTTCCCTTGATTCCTCTGAGTCAAGCAGCTGTTGCACCAACACTGTTCATGCAGCTCTCCCCACTGCTTCTCATATCACCCAGCTTATCAGGCACATTGGCTAGAGGAACCCAAGGAAACACGAGCAGGCAAAGGAAGCGAAACGCCATTGCCCAATCTCTAAGAGGCTATGAAAAACACCAGGGAATTATGAGAAATACGTTTGATTAAAAGCACAGTGGATGTGGCAGATCCCTTTGACCACTTCCTGCTTTACAGTTGCCTCGTGCTGATTGTCTGGCACAACCCATGGAGTCCTCTGTGGTTACATGCCAAGCTGATCCCGGTGTTTCCTGTTTAGCTCCTAACTGAGTGTCTAAATTAGATTTGTCTGCATAATTCTTTACAGCAGTTTCCAGTCAAATTGGATTGTGCTGACATCCATATTCTGATTTTTTTTGGTCTTTCCCCTGGCTGATGCATTAGACCTTTCCTACCATTTCCCCTTTCTCGAGATCTGCACGCATGCAGTGTGCACGCGTGTTCCTGGGATGATGGTGATAAGTAGAGATGCCTTAAAGGGGCTTCCAGGATGCTGGCAAGAGGTCTGGGCAAGACAGAGGCCCCCCTGAAGTCAGGGACTGGAGGCGAGTTGGGATCTTGGTGCCTGGATCTAACAGAGGGGAGAGTTCTGCCCACCAAAGCCATGTTTGCAGGATCTCGCACTATTTGGCACATCTGAGCTCTCCCAGCAACGTATGTGGCCGCCTGCTTCCTTCCCTTGATGTGACATAATTCCAAAGCCCTGACAGGCACCCTACTGCAAACAGAGCTGGGATTGAGCTCCGAGCTCTCTCTTTTGTTGAGGGATAGCTGGCCCACAACAAGGTTTTGTCCCTTTAAATCACTCTCCCCCCAATACAGGTTGAATCTCACCAAAATTCAGCCAACAAGCTAGTTAGTGGCAAGGAGGGAACCACGCAGTTGCTATGGCAATACTGCCTTTTCAGGGGGACAGAACTGCTCCTTTGCTAGCCCTCACCTATATGGGAGGCTCTGGTTCCACTCCTATGGTCTGAGCCTGAACTGGGCTGATGGCTGAGAATACAAATTGCCCATGGGGCTCTACGGAAGCCCAGTTTGCTGCAGCTTCCTGCCGGCTGCTCTCCTCAGAGGACCGGGAACGAGAAAGGCGGCCTTCATTTGAAAACCCGTCACGTGTTTCCTCCTATTTCCTCCTCCCCCACACAGCCCTTTCTGCATTCAGCGGCCGCCCGCCTCACCTCTTCCCCGTTTAACCCACTGCTTTCTCTTTCCCATCTCTCTCCAGCCGAGGTCTATCACCTTCTCCACGACCCTGCTCTCCCCTCACAGCCTGCAGCTCTGGGTGCCAAAGAGAACCCGCTTCGGTTACAAGAAGTAAAGAGTGTGGGCATGGATCGACCGCAACAACCAGCACATGAAAAACGAGTCCTGGGCATTAGGCCTGATCCTCTTCTCACGCACGATGCCCTGTACGTCTGGAGTAACTTGATTGCAGGCACAGCCACTGATGTTACACTGATGGCAAACAGGGAAGGATCAGAATTAAGCCCTAGGTGCCTTGTGTGTATCTTCTACCACCGCTCTCGGACGCTGCATGCCACAGCATGTCTGGAAATCCAGACTCTCTGTTAGGAGAGGTCTCCACTGAAAGCACCTCTTCTCCCGTCACAGTAGTCCATCCACCTCAGCGAGAGAGGCAGTAGCTATGTCAACAGAAAAAGCTCCCCCACCCTCATAGCGCTGTCTACACCAGGGCTACATCCAGGGCTGGACCGAGCCATTCTGGCACCCCAGACAGACAGTTTAATTGCGCCCCAGGTTGGGGGAGAGCGCATGCGCGGCCCCGCCCCCACCCAGCGCTGCATGCCCCTTACAGCTGCCATCAGGTGTCCCCCATGGGTTGGCGCCCTGGGCAGCTGCCCAGCTAGCCCATGCCTTAATCCAGCCCTGGCTACATCACTCCAGCATTAGGGGAATTTTTCACACCCCAAAGGGTATGTCTAGACTGCATCCTTCTGTCGGCAGAGGGATGCAGATTAGGCAGGTCGACATTGCAAATGAGGCAAGGATTTAAATATCCCATGCCTAATTTGCATAAAAATGGCCGCCACGTTTTGCCGACTTAGCACTCTGTTGGCAAAAAGCGGCAGTCTAGAGGGGGATGTGTCGAGAAAGAAAGCCTTTTTCGACAGATCCCTTATGCCTCCTGCCTGAGAGAATCCTTCATCCAGCCTGCAAAAACTTTTGAAAAAGTTTTTCAATCAGGCCCACCCGGCTGCTGGCAGGGGATTGGGGGAGGGCCCACACATGGGGACTCACCCACACACAGCTCCCAGCAGCACTCCCCAGCCTCCCAGTACCCACATACTGCCACTGCCAGCAGAGGGATGCAGTCTAGACATACCCTGAGTTGTACCAATATAAGGCTGTAGTATAAACCTGGCCTTAGCAATAAAACATCCGAGTTGGTCCACGACTTTCAGAGTCCCCTGATTTCTTACTATTGCCACCAGGCTGAGCAAGGGCTGTCATCTGTATGAAGGGTCTTGATTTGCGGCCACCACAGAGAAGGAGAGGCCCTGGTCCTGTGGAAGGACAGAACCCAAGCAGTGGATTGTGTGAGCAAAAAGGAATCTCCTCAGATCATCCAGTAGGCTGGAATAGGACGGCGCCTATGCAAAGAAGCACTGAAAATCTGAGTCTTGCACAAGGGACTCAGTGACAGAGTAGGCCCTACCCCACTCACACCACACCAATCTTCTGACATGTTTCCCCACCCCTCCAGCTACAACCTCTGGGCCCCTCCCACATGTAGGGTGGCCAGATACCTTTATAAAAAATCCTGAACAGGCAGGGAAAAATTGGTTGAGCAAAAAAAAAAAGAGGTCGCTGCGCCTTTAAATTACCACACTCCTCACTCTCCCTGCCCTTGCAGATGCCACCAGCCATCTTTCTGAGGAAAAAAAAAGCCGCTGCACCTTTAAATTACCGTGCTCCTCGCTCTCCCCGCCCTCGCAGACACCGCCAGCCATCCGTACGAGGAAAACAGAAAATACCAGATATTTTACATGTCCGGTATTCTCTGTTTTTTTTTACCGGACAGAAGGCCAAAATACCGAACTGTCCAGGTGAAAACCGGACACCTGGCAACCCTACTCACATGCTCTGGCCCATCTCAAGGACCCACCACTAGGCTTCGTACCTCAAGCTGATCACGTGGTTCATTTGGCACACGAGTAGTGAAAAGCTGAACCTCAGCAAGGAAACAGCCAGCTGCAGCTCACCGGGCCAATGCATATGTGTACTGTGTAATCCTCAGACTGAAAGGCTGGTGTGATTCTGCCCTCTGGACTACAGCCAACTGCTCCACTCACCCACGCTGAGGAAAAACAAGCAGCAACTTGAAAGGACTCTCAGCACTGGCCCAGTCTACACTGGAAAACAGCGTAACAGGCCAGCTCTCCTGACCCACTCTACAGTTGTGACAAACAGGAGTGCCCTGCACGAGTGCCCTGGGTTATTTATTACGGTGGTTTCCTCGATAGTGGCATTTCAAGCTCTTTCTTTCCTTTCCCCTTCAGAGGCAGGGTAGGGTTACCAGGGCAGATGTTATTCCTCATGCCAGGAAAGCCAGCCAGTTAGAACAGGAGCCCAGGAAGCAGAAAACAAAGGCAAAAAGGGGGGTTTCAGATGAGAATTCGAGGCGAGAGGCTTTTGGGGAATGAGCCACTGGGGGTTTTGCTTTGATGCTATCCGGCATCAGCCTGAGTTTGCTTTTCTCTCCTGTCCATTGGCTTGTGGGGACACCTCACTAGTGCATCTGCGCTCACTAACACGCCTCCGTCGCATTCATTTGCACACTGTCAACCAGCACGGCCTATGCAGGCTAGAGAGGCTGGAGGAGG